GGAGGCTGCTCTTGCCAATGCCTCAATGTGCCAGACCCTGGGGTTGAAGCTCAAATAAAGGTTGTCTTGAAAATAGGCCAGAAATGGCCTGAGCTAGAACCTGGTCTGGTGCCTGAGTTTCGGGGCAGGCCGAACTCATGAGGGCCCGTAAATGGCCCTCAGTTTCAGTCTGAAAACACTCAGGGCCGGAAATGCCCTGATTTAGCCTGAAACGACACAGGGCCTGTAGGCCCTTGTTTTCAGGCTTTTGGCCTGAAAACATCACGGACCTGGAAATGGCCCGTGCAGCCTGTTGCAGGCGCAGCATGTAACACCCCACCCTCCTTATGAAGTCAAGCCGGGGCGAGGGCGAAGCTGACGATCTGAAGGTGGAACGTGGATGCGGGTGCGACGTGGAGCCGAAGATACCGGCTTGCCTTGCATCTTGCGTTCGTAGCGTGTGAGAACATCCGGAGCTGTTGCTTGGAGTTCCACACGGGTTAACCAACGGTCAGCTCGGTGACTGCAGTACGCAAAGTATACCAAGTACTCGGTTGGCCTGTTGCCGTAGCGTCGCTGGGAGATGATGTTGCCGACCTCTTGAAAGCCGTCCATAGAGGGTGGGTCTTGCGATTGTCATCCGGGAAAATCGTCATGTTCCGCTGGCGTTTAGAGAGCCAACTTGGAGCAATGAAAGACCGGGTAGACGGGCAAGTGAGCGGGCACCTGAATGGTGAATGGAGGTCCTTCGGGTGAATCCCCGGTGGGTGCCACGATCGGCCAAGGCCCCATCCATTTCGGGAGGAGCTTGCGAGAGATATCTTGTTCAAGGCTGAATTCCGCGGCGGAAACCCAAACGAGATCGCCGGTGCGGAATGGGCAAGGAAGACGCTAGCGATTGGCCATTTGGCTCATGCGTTGCCGCGTCTTGGCCATCTGGTCGCGTGCCTTGACAAGTAGCTCTTGCATCCGTCGCAAGAAAACAAGATGGTCGTCGTTCTCGGCCGTTCGTGGAATGATTGTGTCCAACGGAGAAGTGACCGGCGAGCCGTGCTCGAACTCGAAGGGTGACATCCCGATAGCCGGGTGGATGGACGAGTTGTATGCCAACTCGACATCCGGCAACCGCTAAACCCAATCCTTTTGGTCAGGGCGGAGCGAAGGAGAACCTGTGGGGTCTGATGCGCCCTCTCCGTTTGGCCATCGGTTTGGGGGTGGCTAGCCGAACTTGGCTTGAGAGATGAGCCCCATGGTTTGATGAGCGCCAACCAAAAATCGAACATGAACCAAGTGTCGCGGTCGCAGACAATTTCCTTGGGGTAACCCTTGGTTCGAATCCAACCGGGGTAAAGAACCTCGACCAACTCCGGTGCCTTGGCATGATAGCAGCAAGGCAAAAACGTGACAAACTTGGTGAGTCGGTCGACCACCGTGAGAATCCCATGGTCTTGTGCTTGGGGAACGGGCCGGTAATGTCCATGGCAATCGCTTCCCTTCGCCGCAAGGGGACCGGTAGCGCTCGCGGAGTCGACCAATCATACGATTGACTCCAAAGTGTCCGGTGGCGGAAGTGTCGTGGAACTCGCCAAGAAGCCGTGTGCGCAAGTGTAAATCTCGTGGCACACAAAGAAGATCATTCCCTCGCAAGTGGACGAGCAAGTACCCCTCTTGGATCCGATAGTGCGATGGCGCCGGATTAGGAGAGGAGCAATTTGCATACTTGTCGCAAAACTCGGGGTCGACTTGGTAGCCGCGGATGAAGTTGTCCCGCAAGTCATCGTTAATCTCAAAAGTTGAGTAGACTGCGGTACAATGGTCCGGATGCCGTGAAAGAGCATCCGCAAAACGGTTTGACTTGCCCGAAATGTGGTCGGGGAAAAAGTCAAACTGGTCGATGAAGGTCATCCAACGGGCAATGGTGCTATTGACCGTGTCTTGGGTCTTGTAGAAGACCAAGGGATTGTTATCCGTTACCCATCGGAACTGCTGTCGACCGAGAAGAAAATGCCGCCAGTGCTTGAGCGTGTGTACGAATGCCAATAATTCCTTCTTCCGTGTGTCGTCAATCGAGTGCACGGCGAGCACTTTCTTGCTAAAGTACTCGATAGGGTGCCAGTCCACACCGTCATGTTGCTCGAGGACGGCATCAATGCCATAGCCGAACGCATCGGTAGTAACACATGTCGGCGAAAGCGGATCGTAGATGCGCAACACCTCCGCGGATAGCAATGCGCGCATTGTCGTCGAAGTCAAATGGTCGGTCCTCGCATTGAAGCTTGGATAAAGGAGCCGTGATCTTCGAGTATCCCTTGATGAAGCGTTGATAGTAGCCGGCTAAGCCAAGGAAGGAACGGACATTTGTGACGGTCTTCGGCTCCAGGCACTCTTGGATTGCTTGAATCTTGTCCGACAACGGACTGATGCCCTCCGGTGTGACAAAATGGCCCAAGTATTCCAGCTCTTGCCGGACAAATTCGCACTTGTCGCGGTTGGCTTTGTAGTTGGCGCGGCGGAGCGTCTCCAATACTTGTCGAAGGTGCTCAAGATGATCCTTCAATGTCCGACTATAGACGAGAATGTCGTCTAAGTAGACTAGTACGAACCGGTCCAGCATCGCACAAAACTCGTTGGTCATTGCCGCTTGAAAGGTCGCCAGGGCATTGGTGAGGCCAAAAGGCATAACAATCTACTTAAAATGCCCGTACTGCGTCTTGAACGCGGATTTGTAGCAATCTTGCGGGCGTATCGAGATTTGATGGTATCCCGACTTCAAGTCCAACTTTGAGAAGAATTTTGCGCCGCCCAAACGCTCGAGAAGGTCGTCAATCCGCGAAAGAGGTCCCGCATTCTTGATGGTTTGTGCGTTGAGCTTGCGGTAGTCGATGCACAAGCGAAGATCCTCAGGGTGGACATACATCTATGACATAAGA